TTATGATTAAAGAATAAAAGTTTGCTTTCAGCATCAGTTTATATTAGTGGTGGATAAAAAGTGGAGAAAGAACAGAGTTCATTTTATTTTTTATTATTATTATTATTACATTTTATTTGACTGTTATTATTTTCAGTGTAATTATGAGTTAGCTTCCACATTGGATTTGCTACTTTCAGTTTAGTTTTCAAGAGTTTTGGTGTTTTACTCTTTATCAGATATCAGATTTTGAAAAGCTAAAAGAGGAATTACAATTCAAGGCTCAACACTTAATGAAACTTGTTTACTGAGGTCATGCAGACCTCCTGAGTTGTAGCCTAATAAAGAAATGCACCCAAGCCTCATCAGTCCAAACGGACAAAAACTAAAACTTTATGACTACACACTATTTCTTAAATGAAACACTGTCGTTTAAATTTGATCAAGATCTGGATTTCCTGCACACTTGCCTGGACAAAATAATCTTTACTACTGAAAATCAGGGCAAAATGTTGCCTCATCTCTTGTTTTGTGGCGCAATGTTCTGCTTGTTCCACTCCAGCTCTCAAAACATAATCGCCAGTTTTGTAACAATTCTGCTCTTGTTGTCTGAGATTATGATTATTTGGTAGAATGTTTTGTTCCCAGCATAAAGTTTCAAGTTTGCTTATAAACTTTGTGGTGGGAAAAAGCAGGCTGTCATGTAATGACATAGTTAGCATTGTTGAATGGGTGCATTTAAACCATAATCTTGTCTAAGCCTAATGCAAATGTGAAAATATCAGAACAAAGAAAATAAGTTTTTTTTTGCCAAACTCATTTCTTTTGAATGTTTTTGTCAAAGGTCTGTATGCTTAGCTCGCGTAGCTGTTTTGTAATAGCTCATGGACCATTGGACCCTTACAAAACAGGCAAGATAACTGTTTTCAACCCTTTTATTTCAAAATAGACACATTAGTTCTTTAATTGCTTTGGATTAACAGTACTGGCAATTATATTATATTAAAAAATATTGAGAGATTATTGATGCACAAAATAATTCTCCATAAAACTTGGTTTCTAATTTCACACTAGAATATAAAGAGATTGTGTAACAGTGACTCAAAGCAACCTGTGCTACACACGTAAACAAGCAAAACTCAGCAACTGTTATTCAATCGGGATAATCACCGTTACTGTTATTTTTTTTGTTGTAAAATGTATATTTTTAGTACTCTTTGCATACTGAGATAAAAAGCAGCTGTGATTGAAGCAGCTGGCTCTGATTCGTCTTCACATCTTCCATTCAAAATGTGAAATGTGTAATAATCTTAAAGCTGATTGATGTAAATTCAAAATTTTAAAAAGTGTTTTTTTCTCATTACAATAGAAAGAGAGAAATTCAGCCTTTTTAGGGTAATGAAGAAGTTTATATCTGCTGCAAATCACCAGTTTTTCACTCAGATACTGAACACAATGCATAATGAGCTTTGGTTTTTCTTCTGACCGTTGCTCTTTGCTCTACACGGACTAAGTTGTGAACTGTGGACTGCAGCACACATGCTTTTGGGATCAGGCTTTACTGAATCAGCAGCACAGAGGGAGGTACTGGACAATCACAGCCTATCAGTTTAGTTAATGATCACCTGGTTTCCCTTTACAAAAGCACCGTAGAACGTGAGTTTTCTCAGTACAGGGATAGAAGTTCAGCGGTGATACTTTTAGAGACTGAGGAGCTAAGTAGGGCAGCCATGCGCCTGATAGGGTGCACAGTGCTCCTCTCTGTCCTGCTGCCGGCTATGGTAAGAAACATTACTTTTGCGTTTGAGGGCTAACCTTTGCTTTTGCTTTTGCGCTCCTTAGATTTATGTTTATTTTCATGTTTTATTGGATGTATTGCTTTTTTTAAATTTTCATTACATTTTCTTTTTAAAATAAATTCTTCACCTCTGATAGGCTGTGGAGTTTTGGAAATAACACGGTGTTCTAACTACTTATTGTTTTCTTTTCCTTCCAAAACAGTCTGCCCCATTAGAGGAATGGCAGAGGGCAACATCCATTTATAACTTTTCAGCAACGGATATTGATGGCAACGTGGTTTCCCTTGAAAAATACAGGTAAAT